CGCAACAGCTACTCCTAACGTAACCTAACCTAACCTGCGCCGCCTGTTGCGGTAGGGCCTGTTGCGCTCCGGCGCTGTGAAGCAGTGGCTGTGTTGTGCAAAGCGGATTTACTGTTACCCGGAGTTACCCACAGCTCATTGATCTGAGGCTATGTGCAGATATTGCATGCTGATGGTTGGCGTTGGGCCCAGGGCCTGTTTACGAGTCAATTTTGTTACCCACGGCTGCGCTCCCGATAATTTTTGAGATTGGTAGATTAAAGTAGACATCCATGTAGGAAAGGTAAAACATAAAAATAACTAACTTTTCTTTACTGTATCTAACCCGTACTAGTTCGGTTAGGTTAATTGCAATAAGGTTGCATGGATATGTTTTGAAAATTCTTTATTATCATTAAATGTTTATGAGTAAATCCCAATAGCAGAACAATAAATATTTAGAGATTTCCAATAATTTTGGCCATTGTAGCGGCGCTACAGTTTACTGTAGCGGTAGCGCTCGCTACAATCTAGTGGGTGTAGCGGTAGCGCCCGCTACATATAGAGCATGTAGCGGTAACGGTAGCAGCGCTACATTTCAAAGTAGCGCTGCCCAGCTCTGTCTTAAGGTAGCTTATTTCATTGGGACTGTCATTATTAACTCATAAGTCAATGACTTGGCTGTTCTTCCGCCCAAGTTTCACTATAAATTTAATGTTCTATCTGGCCTCGAATTCGGTAGATGCCATGGTGCATGATCGGTTGTTGCTTTTAAACGATGCCTCGCATTCGAATCATTCATTTAAAACGTTGGTACCTGATCGTTCTGGTGTATTGACATCATTCTCTTCGTACGACTCAGTTATGTCCGTTTTCTACGAACTTCTTGAAGCCCCCTCGTAAGTACGACGAATCTTGGAACCGAACTTTATGATCTGAAATCCGTACTCAGATACTGTTACCTAACAGTTGTGCATTTTCTAACGACATAAAGTTTTCCATATGAAAATATCTTACAAATTACCTTTGTACTATAAGGACGAGTACGCAGGCCAGTTGGAATGGCCGTATTTTTCGATCCTCGGCCTGATAGCGCTAGTCACAGGTCATTTTGTCATATGCAATCTCCTCAGAACAGAGGCGAGGGTTGATTACAGAACCTTGTAAGCTGGATAAATTCGACAATTAAATGAAGGTGCGACGTAACAATCACTCGTAGAGTCGCAACACTCCAGACTCTACAACTCATTTTAAGAAATTATATCAATGTTGGTTATTGACAACAGCTCCCATCACACATGCTTGGTGACCTTATACTAGGCGTTCCAAGCCGGGCTGATTGGTGTCCAAAATTGGTGGTCCAAGGCTCTTCTCTCAAAGTTGATTTTCGTTCAGTTCGGCTGCCAGATGACCAACATTACTAACAATATGAATGACCCGGTGATAATATTATTAGCATTCGATGTGATAAAACGTGGATAATGAGGACATTTTCTTAAACTTCATACTTTATTAAGCTACGATATTTTTACTTACGAAAATATTCCTTTAATCGGAGAATTTACATTAATAAGCTCAGAAATGCGTCGAGATTAAATCTGCTCCTATCTCTCGTGGAGTACTTCATCTGCAAATTTACTTCCATTATTTGGCTTTATAACAAAAAAACATACGGATAGAACGTGTAGAAGATAAACTAAATAAACTTGAAAACTTTATAAACAAAATAAACAACCCGAAAACCTTATAACGGCATTCAGAAGGTTAGTGGTACTTCGAAATTAAAGCGACGAGCCAATAAGTGAAACACAGGAAATGTGGAGCCCGTGAGCAGTGACGACACGGCGCTTGTAGTGGAGCGCTAGTTGTGTTTGGGGCTGGCGGCGAGTAGCTGAAGAGTGCTTGCCATGTACTCGTGATACTTTCTAGTGTACTTCTGTAAAGAAAAGGACAAGCTTACTAGTCTGCATTCATGCACGACCATGATATTTCTACAGGGAAAATAAACACATGGAAAGTGTACAAAATTAATTAGAAGTATGAAATTGGTACAACTAATTATACAAAAATATTAGGTAAACTTTTTCTAGCGTGGCTAGTGGAATATGAGTAGTTTGATACCCAAATATTTGGCAAATACGAGTAGTTTGCTACTATTGCCATATGGTGAAGACAACAAAATTGACTTAAGGCAGAGACAAACAACTTGTCGTTAGACTCTTAATAATATTGACCCCTAATATTTGGCAAATATGAGTAGTTTGCTACTATTGCCATAAGGCAAAGACAACGAAATTGACTTAAAGCAGAGACAAACAACTTGTCGTTAACTTGTCATTAGACTCTTGATAATATTGACGCAACGTATAAACTAGACTGACTGTCATGCCGATAGTCTGAGGGCTGCGTGAGTAGTATTCGTGCAGCTTGACGTTGAGTGCCTGCATGGTGACCATGAGTTGCTGCAGTGCCTCGTCGTCAGCAGCAATCAGCTTATCGCCCCCGTTCTGCTCAAGTTTACAATGACGTGAAGACAATGAAGACTTCAGAGGAATTAAATGCAGCAAACAGTATCTAAGGATTTGTTCACTAGAAAGCTAAAATGAATCTTCATTCAAGCTAAAATGAATCTTTCTTCAATCATTCCGGTCATTGGTGCTGCTGGTCTAACGTTCATGAACGCAGCACAATCAAGGCTTTCTAAAGTCTATGTAACATACTGGATGAAGTCTTCATAGGAAAATAGGAACTGAATATTTTTCAATATCTTCCATACATGATTAAATACAGCAGAGCAAAACAATCGCGTGAAGCGTTGCCTTGAGGTAAGCAATCCCTGAGCTGCCGCAAGACTTCATATAAAGATATTGCAATGGCAATACTTGACTCACATTTATAATCGCCGAATCCAACATTTATTGAATGCTCCAATGATCAAGTAACCTAACGTTTCAGGTTAAAGAAAGTGAGAGGGGCAGTGGGAGATTATGAAGTAGATAGATGGTGATGAGGTGAGAGGTGACCAAGAGGTGAGAGGTGACCAAGAGGTGGGAGGTGACCAAGAGGTGGGAGGTGACCAAGAGGTGGGAGGTGACCAAGAGGTGAGAGGTGACCAAGAGGTGGGAGGTGACCAAGAGGTGGGAGGTGACCAAGAGGTGGGAGGTGACCAAGAGGTGGGAGGTGACCAAGAGGTGGAAGGTGACCAAGAGGTGAGAGGTGACCAAGAGGTGGGAGGTGACCAAGAGGTGGGAGATGACCAAGAGGTGGGAGGTGACCAAGGGCTGAGAGAGGCCAAGGGGTGGGAGGTGACCAAGGGCTGGGAGAGGCCAAGGGCTGGGAGAGGCCAAGAGGCCACGACTCACGGCTTTGATAAGGACGAGCTCCTCCAGCAGCGGCGCCTGCAGCTCATCGGCGTCGGTCTGCCCAAGACATCAGCACGTCAGACATCAGCAACTAGCACGGCACTAGTGCAGCAACTAGCACGATCCTTCATAGGTGAGTGGTGCACGGCCTGACCAACACCTCGTCCTTCATAGGTGAGTGGTGCACGGCCTGACCAACACCTCCTCTTTCATAGGTGAGTGGTGCACGGTATAAACAACAGCTGCGTTGTCATAAATGAGTGCGTGACACGAGCACCGACCAAGATTTGACGCACGAGTGCATATAAACTCACGCTCACCTGCTGAGGGAATGTCCAGGAATAAGTCAGTCTAGTCCATACGGTGAAAATCATTACTATCAGTCTATTTCACAGTAAGTTATTAGATTCAGTTCAGTCCTCAGGACAAACGTCATTGAAGTCTATTCAGTCTGCCCAAAAAATTAATCGAAAGTCAGTCCAGTTTGAACAAAAACAATCTCTAAAAACAAAAAAAAAAACTTCTAATATGCAGCAATTGAAATAATTTTGCGTCAAAATTAAGAAAATACCTCCGTAATTTTATGCCACAACGTTTCTCAGAACTGGTGGAGCAGCTGTCCAGTCTACGCGACATGAGCCAGCAAGAAGGAGTGGATGAGACTGCGTCTCTGGCCCTCAACAGGAACCTGCCGGTGCTGCTGCAGAGCCCGCGCGGCACTGAACACTGTGGGGCCCTCATGCTGTGTGACCTCATGATAGGTGCTGCCTCCGATGTCCCTCCTTCTGAAGGAGGCACCATGAGACCGGGACTTGCCAATGATTCGGTGTCTGACCCTTCCTTAGGACCTGGAGGTCTTATGGCGAACGCCTTTTGTCTCTCCAAAATGTTGCACCACCTCCGTCAGCAGAGAGCGAACCTCGTTCCTGACTATCAGATGTTCACCTTCGTCTATCGTGTCATGATCGAATATTTCGGACGATCTCGTCTTATATGATATATCTGACACTTGCTTATCTATCTACTACTTCATTCAACCTTTGCCTTTGCTTCCAGCTTTCCATCTCTCTATGAGAATATCCGCCAATTTTTCTATGTTGTGCAGAATTTGATTATTCATAGCCAAGGATTTTTGTTATTTTTGTAATATGTGAATAAATTGTAGCTTTAATATTGCTGGGCATTCCGCTAAAGCTCTAGAGGCTACAGTTAATTTTAATGAGATTATTTTAACGTACGCAAGAATCTCATTTGTTCTTGAATGTGTCTCAAATTGCGTTTTTTAAGGCGACGCAAAAACTTTTGCTTGTGTTAACTTTACTTTACCTTCTGTACGATACGGTACTCTTGAAGCACCACCTTAACTGTTATATTAAGTCAGTCTATTATATTGGAGTATATAATGAAATCAATTGTGTTTGATGCTTTTGATTATGTTTTACATCCAGGATTAGTTTCCTTCTTCACAAACGTATCAAGTAACCTGCAAGTACATTTAATACCTGTTGTTTTGTCGCAATTCATCTGCTCTCCCTCCTTAAAATACTCTATTCTTGAAGTAAACGAGGTTCAAAGTTTAGTTTGTTTGTGGATGTGGAATAGGTAGTGACATTGACTGTTTGTATGGTGCGAATCATGTCATGTGTAAAATCGACATCTTGTTTTCTATGTAGTGATATTTGAAGACCAATGAAACCGTGCCGATACTTCCAGTGCTGGAGTCGTGGGTTTGAGCATGAATAATATTTACTCATTTATGTCGATAACTATACGTTTGATTTTTTAATGAGAGAGCTGGTAACAATGTTTCTGACTTTTGATGACATTCCATGTACATATATCTATTACCCGAGTATTATTTGCGCTATTTAGCAGACACGTTGTGAGAGATGTTAATCTTATCATCGAATCGCTACGACTCTTATAGTATTATCGTGCATATCATTTATATCCATGAGGCTAACGGGCTTCTTCCTCTCATTACTGGTGGCCTGTACGAGCTCTACTATAAGGCTATAATGTGACGTCCTCAAACGCTCTGACTGTGGTGTGTTGTGCCCTTGGTGTTAATCAGAGCTCGCCTTTCTGTTTCCTCAAGTAGTGATATCTTCTCAAAGAGAATTTTTTTCATGCATAGATATACTTTGCAACCTCTGATTAAATTGTAGCATTGCAATTGGAACAACACTCCCTTGTCATATGCGTGAATTGGTCTACTTTCGTTTGAAATAGTGCTTCTGTCATATACATTGAAACATCTGTTGGATAGCTATTATGCGTCATTTATACCGTGTTCAATATTAGTTATGAATCGATTCTTTATTGGTTCATTTAAATTACTGAACAATTTTCATATTCATTTACCAGTTCTAAAGATCGCTTCTTCCGCCTCTGATAAGGAACTGACCTGTGGGAAAGTGCGTGCAATATGTTGCTGGTGGCCATCAAGAAACTAACTTTAGATTGAAGCCCTGCCCATCGCAGTGGGAGATTATATTTTTGTCTTAGATTTAGTTCATTTGCTTTAGGAGCTGTTATTTTTTATCTGGCAAAATGAAGCTAAGCTGCAGCGTCGCCTCAGATTTTCTACCAAGTTCTTGCCCTTTGTTTGAAAGACTGTTTCACTGTCTTGTTACTGTTGCTGCTTTTAAATTGTGACGAATATTTTACTTCTCAATTCTTTCCGAAGAATTCTTTCGAGTTGGTGTTCAACATGAAAGGTATTTTTGATCATTTTAAATACCTCATCCTATGAAGTTTTGTGTGCTGGTAAGCCATAAACGCATTATCTGTGTTATGTTGCACGTTGATATAGGCAGCTGTGAGGCAGAAATAGTGGCTGCTCATTACGCAGCGTTCTTGCTTGTATTTAGTTTTCAATTTCAGGCAGAAGAACTATCCCGTGAATTCAATTGCACGAATAAACTAGAAGTTCTTCTCGTGTTTAACTTATTTTCTACTGTAATGTAAGATCAGTGTCATTATTATATTTATCTTTGTCCGTCCAGTTTCCTTTTGTATTCGCTCATTTCTTTGTTCCACTGTTTTGTGTTTATAGCTCTTTAAGAGCTAGGTCTTATTAGGACTTTTTTTATGCATAGAAAATGTGAGAAAAACTACTGAGCAATAGCAGCGGCAATAAATATTCCGAATGAATCTGTTTTTTTTTTATCCCAAACTAATTGATTTATTTTTGTGTCGTCCACTATTTTTATATCGGTAATTTGCAGCACAAATATAGTGCTGACATATATATACATATATATATTAGTTTTAGATGGCAGAATTTGTTGATTTATACGTGTGCGATTAACGACCAGAGAAATAGTTGATTTAAATTATCAAAGTCGGACAATTCTTCAGATGACGTTGGTAGATCGAAAGGAATATATCAGGAAGTAGTTTTAGTTTATTAACGACGTTTCGAATGTAACTAACATTCATTTTCAAGTTACAAAGAGCATTAAATATCAAAATTCTGGTGGAAATAAGTACATAACACATGTAAATAGGATACTATAGTAAAATTTTGAATCAGAAAATCACTCTGAAATCATTTCAAAGTTCAGCCAAATCCGGTAGTTAAGAAAGAGGTAGCAGGCGTCCAATTCGTAGAGACGATGCGGCTAGCCATCTTCGGTCGATTGATCTCAGGCCACTGCTTGCATGATGACCATGCTGGCGGGTTCCCTAAGCACTAAGCGAGTGACGGTCTGGTTGTGAGATTGTCGCGTGTGGTTCACTTGCCCTCCGGGTTGGAGGTAGCTAATGAGACAGCGTCTCGGTGTCTTGGTTGTTGATCCGAAGTGTCCGATGCAGTCCAAAAGATGAAGAAGTCTACAACCTTCTTTGAAGCAAAATTTATAGACCACAACGGCCTCTCGGACAACTCCCGAGTTTTTGCGAAGGCCATTATCGCGTTTAGTTCGGAGTTTGATAATGTTTTCACGAAGACTGTTAAATTCATCAACAATTTTGAGATAAAGTTGCTTGTTTGTAATGCTTTGAGACCTGGTCTGGTTGTTACTTTGTCTCTGGTGGTACTATACTATAGTAAAATTTTGAATCAGAAAATCATTCTGAAAATCATTTCAAAGTTCAGCCAAATCCGGTAGTTAAGAAAGAGGTAGCAGGCGTCCAGTTCGTAGAGACGATGCGGCTGGCCATCTTGTGGCAATTTAAATCA